ACTATATATATACAAAACTAAAACGTGTATGTGTTTATATGATTGAGCTTTAAAGTACTAACACACATAATATAAACCTAAACTAAATTACCCAAGGTTTATCTTGATCTTCAATAGCTTGACTTGGTAATCTCACGGATGAAGCTTGAACTTGAATCTTTAACTTGAATTGCATAGCTTCAACCACTATATCCTCCAACCTCCATTTGATATGATCGTTATATCCAACCTCCAACATGTAGTTTATCTATAATAAATAGAATTATACAAACACTAGACAAACAATATTAGAAGTAAATTGTTTGTTAAACATTATCAAAACAAGAAGGCCAACACTTTGGTCATCTTGGGAGTTAGAGACTAAGGTGGGGGGCACCGGTATGAACGGAGATGGCTCATCGTCTGTTGCGGATGACTCTATCAAGAAGTTGGCCCAGGCTTCGGCTTTTATGGTCGTCTTGGGCTCAAATTGTATATCATATTCACTGAGCTCGACTAACCAGTTGATCATTCTTCCTAAAGGGGTAGGGCTACTATGTGCTTTCTTCAAGGTAAAGGTTTGTCCACATCACTATGGTATGAGCTTGAAAGCAGGGGCGAAGCCTCCTAGCTGCGATCATGAGAGTGACGGAGGCCTTCTCAATGAGAGTATAGTTGAGTTCAGCCACCTTCAGAATCTGGCTGACGTAATATATCGACCTCTATGCATTGTCTTCCTCTTGGATTAGGACAAAGCTAATTACTTCTTGGGAGTTGACCAAGTAGCGGTACAAAGGTTTCTCTTTCTCTAGGATGGCTCAACAGAGGCTTGGTGGTCAAAAATTTCCTGAGGTCATTGAAGGCCTCACTGCACTCTACTATCCAGCCGATGTCTTCCTTCAAATCCTTACTTTCTCTCAAAGTTTTGAAGAACAATAGGCTTCTCTCTGCAGATTTTGAAAGGAAGCAACCCAACGCCACTATCTTTCTATTTAGTTTCTGAACGTCCTTCAATGCACAAGGCTCACACATTTGCTCTATGGCAGTTATTTTCTTAGGGTTGATCTCAATGCCTCGCCAGGTAATAATGAACTTGAGGAATTTGCCTGATTGCACCTCAAAAGCTCATTTGGCCGGGTTAAGCTTCATGCAGTTGTGTCGAAGGACAGAGAAATTTTCTTCAAGATCCGACATGTAAGACGCTGCCTGTTTTGACTTCACAAGGATATCATCCACATATGCCTCCACATTTCGGCCAATTTGGTGCTTGAATATCTTGTTGACCAATCTCTAGTACGTGGCTCCTCATTCTTAAGACTCAAGAGTATCACCTTATAGCAGTAGTTTTATTAGACTCTAATGAATAAGGTCTTCTCTTGATCATGCTCTGCCATCAGGGTCTGATTGTATCCAGAGAAGGCGTCCATAAAAATAAGCAGGTCATGGCCCCTCGTTGCATTCTAGCATAGGAATGGGATCACAGCTCCTCATTGGCACTCAATGAGGCCTAACCTAATTTTGACCTTCCTTGACCCCTCGAGGTCAATCAGCACTTCTTGCAATTCTTCCACAGGAGTCGTCCGCTCTCGTTCCAGCTTTTTTCTCCATCTAGAGGTGGGTCTTCTCAATTGGCAAGTTCTCCAATACTCCTTTCCTTTTCAATAGGAGCAGATAGCATGATCTAGTCTTTTGTTGATTGCTCCTCACAAACCCGACTCCTTCTGGGTTAGAACTTCACCATCTGGTGGTAGGTGGACGGAACCACCTGTAGGTTATTCTGAAAAGTTCTTTCAAGAATAACATTGTAGGCAGACTTTATGTTCATCACAATAAACTGAGTTTGAATAGTGGAATGGTGAGGGTACTCGCCAATCATTAGGCAGAGAGTAATCAGCCCTTCTGTTAGGAGCAAGTGCCTTGTGAACCTAATGAGGGGACCTCGACAAGGTTGTAGTTTGTACTTGTTGATGCCCATCTGGTTGAAGGCATTAATGAACAGGATATCAGTGGAGCTCACTGTATCGACTAAGATCCTTTTGACCCAAAAGCCATTAGTCTCGGTCGATATAATGAGAGGGTCATCATGAGGTATCTCTATGCATTTTAGATCAGCATTGCTGAAAGAAATAGGTTGATTTGTCCTTGATTATTCTCACATAAATTGACATCAAACGCTCACCTATCATATTTCTTCTGAGTGTTATTGGATATTCCTCTTGATGCTGGAGCTAATGGTGTTGGTGACGCTCTGACTACCGATTTTTGTAGGATGTTTATCTTGCTGATGTTGGGGATGGGTCAATCTGGATTGAGACCTCCTGTTAGACTTCCATGGAACGGGTTCTCCTCTATCCCGCTTAGAGATATGTCTCTTCAATATTTCTTTTTGTATCAAGTCCTTGATATCTCTCCGCAGAACTCTATAGTCATCGATATGATGCTCGTGAACCGGTAGTATTATTTGGTGTCTCTAAATTAGGGGGTCTAACTTCATGCGAGGAGGACTGGAGTTCAAATATCCTTCTTTCTGGACCAAATAGAGAGTTTGTGAGAGAGCAATGTTGAGGGAAGTGAGGCCGGCCTCTTGGCTGCTTCTCTGCTCTGGTCCCTCTTGTTGACCTTGCTTGGCATGGAGTCAGTTCTTGGGGGGTCCTTCGCTATTTCCTCCTTTGGAGAGATATCGACTTCTGCTATTGTTGCTACTGCTACTGCTTCTACTTCTATAGCTACCTTCTTATAGGCTCAGGTGTCTTCCACGTTAATGTGCCCTCGTGCCCTGGCCATCAACTGTTCATAATTGGTGACTCAATCTATGATGGGTGAGTCAGCTAGCTGGTTGTCCTCTAGCCCTGCCAAGATCACAACTGTGGCGATCATGTTGCCAAGGTCGTCAACTTCTAGCCTCTTGGCTTGGAACCTCTTGAAGTAGTCCATGTGGTTTTCCCTATGGTCCTTTCTCATTTGCAACAAGACATAGGAGGGCTTCTTCTATTTGAAGTCGGTTAAAAACTGATGTACAAACTTTTGGCTGAGCTATTCAAAACTGTGGATGGACTTCTGGTTTAGTGAGTTCCACCACATCTTAGCACTTTCCGTCAAGGTGACAGGGAAGGATCTACAGATGATCGGCTCAGTTACCTGCTGCATGCTTATCAAGTCATAAAAATTTTGTGAATGCTCTACTAGATCTCCCTCGCCTTTGTACTTCTCAATATGCAACATCTTGAATTTGGCATAGGGAGCATTCATGATCCAGTCGACAAGTGGAGTGTTCCCTCTGATGGTTTTGGCAACAGTGTTGAATGTCTGGTTGTAACCAGAGGCAAGATTAGTGGTGGAAGGATTCAGATCTACGTAGCAGTATCTGGGGCCACGTGAAGTCGTCCATGTAGCTCGCTCATGATCGCCATGGTCGTAGCTGGGGCTTCCCATGTCGCCTCTACATATTGTAAGGTTTGTCGAGGCAGAGCGGCAAAACGAGCATGTTGGTGAAGTGGAGGAGAGGCGTGCTCAACATAAATCTTCGGGTGTTCATTTCTCCTCCTGAACTACAGGAGGGGGGAGGAGGAAAGAATGACAAAGAAGGCTATTGAGGAGGAATTCTGCTGAGGTGCTTATTCGTGAAGGAAGTGAAATGCTGCTGGAGAGATTGAGAAATTCTCTGAGCGTACTCTTCTAGTTGAGCTTGAGTTACATAGCCTATATGTGACTCTTCAGCGGATGGATTGGAGGATCGGTCTGGGCGATCAGAACCAGCCATCTTATGTAAAGAAGAAAAAGAGGCACCCCAGTGGGTGCCAACTATTAATGACGGTTATCAAACAGGAAATTGAGGGTGGATTGTTTAGGGTATTAGAGTCTCTTAATCTTCTTCAAACGGTTGGTTCTTAAACAGAGAAACAAACAACTGGTTCTTGAGCAGAGAATCCAGCCCTGCACATGAACAACACATGAGAGGATCGGAGTTGAAATCTCCAGTGATTCCTCCGACGATCAGGTTAGTCTCATGCTCAAGTGGACAAGAGAGTAAACGTATGGTGTTTTCTAGAAAGAGATTGCTTACCCTATGCAGTAGATAGTAACTTTCCTTTATAGCAGATCCAAGGGGTAGATGTGTAACTTTAGCCGAGTCTAAATAGGCTGCTCAGTTGGCAGCTACTTTACAGGGTTCGGCTGCAGAGGAGATGAGTCACCTATGCATTTAATGTGATGGTGATGTGGCGTGCATAGTGCTGATGAGGTCTATGAGTCATAAAGACTTTAGGGGCGGAAGCAATGATGATTTTGATCATGCATTTAATGTGATGGTGATCAACTGTCGGCAGGGGGTTCGAGGATAAACCATCTCTTGACTCATCTCTATGAGAGGGTCAAAAAATAACGCCTTTTGCCTTAATCTTGCAAGCGGACCGATAAGTACCATCTTTTTACTCAGCTTCAAAAATTCTCGACCTGGCTTTGTAGAATGATAAGGGAGGGTTGATTCTAATGGAAAGATACAGGTAAGGAAATCTTTCGACTTGGCACTTATTGGGAAGGGTCGAGTTTTGAAGCCGCTCGAGTCATCCTGTCTAGGGTGAGGCCAATCTAGTGTTTAGTTAATATAGGACATATGTTGACTCCTCGTATATGATTAACACTTGACCATTTATGTGATATAACAACTATCAAATCCAAACGGAATACACTTAATTTTAACCTCTCGTGAAGGGTTAACTATGTTAGTTCTTCCCCCTAATCCTTCTCCTTTAATGTCTTGCCAATTGGCACCTTAGGTTTTTAAAATCTCGCTTGTAAATCTCCCCATGACCTTGAGGTAATTTTCCCCCCATAAATTACTACATTAAAAAACAATTGGAAAAATTCTACCAAATTAGACCAAAAAATTTGTTAGTATAAGAAATTACTTTCAAAAAATTCAGTGTACTAGAAATGAAAGTAATATGATGGATATCTACATAAGATAAATTGAGAAAACACTTTGGGGTTCTGATACCAAGCCCTAGAAAATTCATGAATATTAAGGCCAACAGCACTCGTGTCTAAGATTAATAATCGAGGTTTATTGCATCTATCTCAAGCCTCTCTCTTTCGGTACCTTTCTGCAACTCCAAATGAAAACCTTAACGATCTCTCAAAATCTTTGCTAAATTGATCCCCCCAAGAAAACCTAGAAGCTCCAGCACCTCAAATCCTACAGTACTTCACCTAACCGCCGCCATCTCCTACTCATGCTGCCACCTTCTTCTCTGTAAGTAATCTTTCCCCTCTCACTCTGCCACCTCCTTCTCTATAAGTAATCTCTCCCCTCTCCTCAAAACCCTATTCCTATGTTTAGTACGCTGTCATCTCCCTCTCTAAGTAATCTCTCCCCTCTCCTCAAAACCCTATTCCTATGTTTAATAATTGGGTTTTTTGGTTTAGGGGCTTCTTTTTTGGATTTTAGTTTCCATTACAACTTTTGATCACAAGTTACTCAGTACAAATCTGCTTATGAATTAATCAGTACTAATCAAGAAAAGAGAGTGAGAGAAAAGCTGTCAATAGTTAATAGAAATAATGTGCACCGTTTTAATTTTAATGAAGGAATTCCCTTGATCATACAACTAAAATATCTCTTAATTTGAAAATAAAGTTGAGAATAGGTATTTATCCTGTGCAAAGGCTTACAGGCTCAAGAAAGGTGTGCAAGTTGTCTTGTTGTCTTGTCTACTAAGAATGACAGTCACTCATCTTAGGATTATTCTTATCCAGTCACGTTTAAGTATAAAGTTGTTTGGCTTATACACTATTATAAATATTTAATCATCAATATATTTAAATGTTAAGACTTATTATTTTAGTCCATTAATAAAACCTCACACAACCAATATGGGACTATTAACCTTTTTTAATTTTAACTTTGTATATCTAATAACACAATATATGTCGTGATTTGCCACACTTTGTACTTGTGTCACTATTATTTAACCATTTACAGATAAAATGACACTTCTGTATGTGTCCCAAAATAAGTGTGGATATATGCAATTTTTATTGGCAGTGACTCTTATTTCATTATAAATGGCCCTTATATGGGACAGGTGATTTGGCATATTCTCCTAAGAAATTAAATAAGGTTAGTTTTGGTAAGAACTTGTCATCTTCTCAAGCAGTCCAACTCTTCACCTTCTTCATTGATATTTTCTCTTCTAACCCATAATTTCTTTCCCTCAGCTGCAACTCAATCTCTCGAGCTTCTCTCCTGAGCTGGTCACCATCTTTCTCCTGCTCTCGCTATCACAGACTCACTGACGCATCTAATGATAATCTAACTACCAAATTTAACAACATCCTTTATGAAAACAAAATTTAACGACAACAAAATTCATCTGCATACTGTGCCCCAAAAACCAAACTTTCAAACAACCTTCTTCACACAAGATCCATCAAATCATATGGATCTAAAAAAAATCGATACAAACTGATAAAATAAAATAAAATTTTGATACAAAAGAATTGAGTCACGGGAGGAGTCATCATCATTTAGTATAAATGAGTTAATCGTGGAATGGCTTATGAGTCGGGACCGCGTCGATTGGAGCACATGCCGATGTCAGTAGTGCCAGTGACAGGGAGCGCGACATTGATAGTGTTGGCGCCTTTGGATAAATCTAAAATAAAACAGATATAAATCAGATAGAACTGAAAGAAAACTGAAGTGCTATATTTTAAAACTTTTTCAAGTTAGCTGATGTGCGTTTGTGAAACGATGTGCTTAAAGCAATATTTGGTCTACTCCGGTGCAAGGATCCTAAGGCCAAACTGCTTCCAGGAACAGCAGTACAGTACAATGATGTGCACCAACCAAGTACTGTCAAGATCTCCTTGATCTATAAGACCTTTCGGTCAAGACAACGATCTCCTCAATCTGTGTAGTAACATTTCGGTTCAGAGAAAAATCTTTCGATCTGTAATAACCTTTCGGTTTAGGGCTATGTTCCTTCGGGCACAAACTAAAGCTTGCATGCTTTTAAACTCTGCAGCAGCAGCACAACAGCTTAACAGATTCAATATGTTCAAGTTGTACAACATTTCAGTGTATTTTTTCCTCTCCCAAGAGCTGCCCCAAGGGGCACTATTTATACGTCTCTAAGGCCAGCTCAAGGGTCACCCACAATCAATTTGACTGTTACAAATCATAATGACAATTATGATTGTAACAGCAAATGACTTAATTGTTGTAACTGCTGCATGCAGTAACGCCTGAACGCGAGGGTCGCGTTTTCACGCAACTTGAGGTTGCGTCGCATCTCGCGAAAACGAGGCTCACACCCTCGCGCGAACGCGAGGGTCGCGTCACTCCTCCGAGGGTCGCGTTCTCTCTCGTGAACGCGAGGGTCGTACCATCGCACGTATGCTCTCTAATATCTTCTAATGGAATCTTGGCCTTTAATTTATCAATCAAAGGCCAAGATTTCCTCATGAGCAAAAGTAGGGGGAGGATAAGGATGAGATCTTGGCCTTTGATTGATAAATCAAAGGCTAATGAGCAAAAGTAGGGGGAGGATAAGGATGAGATCTTGGCCTTTGATTGATAAATCAAAGGCTAAGATCTCTTTATTAGTGTAGGGGGAGGATAAGGATGAGATCTTGGCCTTTGATTGATAAATCAAAGGCTAAGATCTCTTTATTAGTAGATATTAGTAGATGATCCATTAGTAGAGGATCCCAATCCCATTTTTTATGGTCCTCCTATTCCCTATGGCACTTTTTCTTTATTCCTTTTATAGTATACTCCGCTGGGCCCCACATCCTCCTCCTCTTATCTTGTCTCCCAAAAAATTCAACACAATATGCTCAAAATAAGTAGCACTTAAATACCTTATAGCTTCACTCATTTTATAGTTACATACTCTTAGTTGTCTTCGGTAGCATTTGTATGTCGTAAGTTCTTTAAAATTGGTACATTAGTATCCTTTATTATGTAAAATTGAAAATATTCACCCGATTGTTCCACGATAACATTCGTATGTTAATTTTATAACTTTCCAACTATCTATGTTTGTGAATTGACTATTAAACATGTCCAAATTATATTTTAAAAGTAGGATTGGGATAGGTTTAAACTAGAATTTGGGCAAGGTTAACAGTAAATTAACATATTTTTTGAGCTGACCAGTAAATTAACATATTAATGGTTAAGAAACTCTAAACTAACATGAGAATGTCATCTGAAAATTTTAGAGTGAAAATTTTACATTTGCATAATAGAGAGTATTAACATGCCAATTTTAGACAAGTTAGTTTATATAAATGCTAGAAAAAAACAACTAAGGGTATATAAGTACAAAATGAGTGAAACTATAAGATATTTAAGCGCTATTTTGTTTTTGTCCCTTTTTAACCCTCTTTTAGTGTGCTAAAGTAGATTTAAGATCCATGTTTCCATAACTTAACTTGATTACAATCAATTTTGGTTTCATAACAGATGCTCCATAGGGCAGTTTAATCAAAATTATGTTAATTAGGGAAAATCGCGCAACAACAAAGTTTTCCCTGGTACTCAACAACTAGAGAAGCAGTGGCATCGTGCTTTAGCACTAGTTAAATAATACGGTTAATTTCACTAAACCCCCAGAACTTTTGGGGGTGTTACACATAACCCCCCTAAACTTTAGCTTATCTCACCAACCTCCTTGTCTATAATTTGCAAATAAATAAAATATCTTTTGAGTGAAAATTTTCCAAACTTTATCACCTCATTTACATACAACATACTCATTCCTGAAGTATGAGCTTTATTCTCTCGAGAAAAATTTAGTTATTTACAAATTACAAGCAAAGAGAGTTAGGTGAGGTTAGGGGTGGCAAATTTTGACCCGACCCATCAACCCGACCCTACCCGACCCGTTTATAATGGGTATGGGTTGAGTTATATGGGTTGGGTCATAAATGGGTCAACCCGAATTTACCCATTTATTAGATGGGTAAATTCGGGTTGAGCCACTGACCCGTATAATGACCCGTATAATGAAAGTACCGACCCGAATAACAACCTGCTTAAACCCGTGCGACAGAAATAAGCTCCAGATCCCATCACGAAGAAAAGCCCTAGATCCCACCACGAAGCTCAAGCGGCGAGCGGCCCTAGATCCCATCAGGAAGCTCGATCGGCGAGCGGCGGCGATCGGCTAACGGCGGCAAACGGCGAGCAGCGGCGATCGGAGTGAGGTGTCGACGACGAGTGACGGTGAACAAGCGGAGGCAAGCGGCGTTGTTTCTTCCCCATTTTGGTCTTCGTTCTAATTTAGACCCTTGTTTCCCAATAATTCACAGCGCGATCCTCTCTGTAAGTTCCCCCCTCTCTCTCTCGAAGCTCAAATGTTCAAGTTTTGTAGCTCAAATGTTCTGTTTCCAGAGTTGATCATTGGCTTTCATGTAAATGAATTTGATCATAGACATCTATTCCTCTTACTAGGGTTTCATTCATGCTCATTTATTAGTGAAATCTGGCTAGAGTTCCATCTTTTGATGTACTCTTTATCTCTGATTGTGATTTATTTTTTAAGTAGACTGTTTGAATATCGACAATCAGTATTGAGGATCTAACCTTAACCTATTACTCTGCCATGATTTTGATATGTTTAATTAATAAATTTTAATTACCTGAACATATAATTAGTTTTTCTTGACGCTGCATTTTAGGAAATAATCAGTTCCCCAACGGATAGCTGAATGAACATTTTGTAGCTCATTTGTAGCTTGTAATTCTTGGTTATAATGAAGAGCAGCCCATGCCAGAGTTGTGACTGTAAAAGTCATGGGCAAGCCATATTTTACATTGTCTGCTGCATCATAGTATCCTCCCACGAGGTCCACCTACACTTTCCATGAAAATTGTCAACATAAAAGAGAGAAAATTTAATATATGACTCCATTGGAAGTGGATAAAAGAGAGAAAATTTAATATATGTGTGTCTATTAATTACCAAGATGATATCGAAAAATTTAATATATGACTCCATTGGAAGTGGATAAAAGAGAGAAATTTTAATATATGTGTGTCTATTAATTACCAAGATGATATCGAAAAATTTAATATATGACTCCATTGGAAGTGGATAAAAGAGAGAAAATTGTTTGTAATGGAGAGAAAAGATTGAGAAAGGGAGATACTATATACATTGAGTTTGGTACTTAATTAGTTTGTTAGTTTTCTTTTTATGTCTATCTTTGCATTGTGCATAGCGGTACCTTGTAATCTTTTCTTTTGAGACCACACAAAATAAGTTTAAAGCGACAATATTAGTTGTAATTTGATCTGTTGTTATCCCTTTCATAATATTTCTAAATAAAAGAGCTTTTAATGGAATGTTAGTTTGACATTAACAAACTAAATTAACTAATTCTTACTGGCTGCTGTTTCTATATTTAACTATTGGGCATTGGTCAAGTTTTTGAAATACCTGTCCTATTTATATGTGTGTCTATTAATTACCATATCAAAAAGTAAACATAACAGTAGTTAATTTGAAAAATATTGGAGTGAGTACAATGTTCTACTTGCTATTGCGTGCATCTTGGATCCCCGATACAAAATGCAATTTGTAGAGTTTTGCTATCATGGGCTATATGGACACAATTCTACGGAGCTTAAGAATGTGAAAGACAAGCTTTTCTCTCTCTTTAATGAGTACTCGAGCAATATGGATGGTAATAGAATGTGAAAGACAAACTTCCACATTGTAACGTAAATCATGCTCTTTAGATTGAGGAGAGCAACCAAACAGTGCATTATTCCGAACTCTTTAGTATCTTAAAATAAGTCTCTCTATTCACTAAGTTTAAAACAGCCTACAATATCTATCCAGTTTAAAACATGATGCTGATTTTTCAGTGAGCACATGTACAAAGTTTGTATATTTTGCAATATTCGGTTTCAGCTTTAAGTTAAAATTTTGAATCAAACATATTAATCTGTCTGTGTTTGTCACTCAAAAATTTGAATCAAATATACTCGCTGTAGTACTCTCCTACTTGTTTTGCATACTATTATCATTCAGCTTCCAACAAAGCTGATTAACAGCTATTGATATTGTACATTACATTGTCTCTTCTCTTGTCTGTACTTATAAGTATTTGTGCTCTCTGTTTATTGTCAGTTTCATTGGTGGTTACTATTAAGCCTTCAACATGTTATTATTATTAGTTAGCAACTTCAGATTTTCTTTAACGCATCGTTAATATATTTGTGATAATTGTTTAGGTAATTTTGTTATCATGTCTGCTTCGAGAATATGGCCCCTAATAAAAGTTGGATGCACAATATTGATAATCGTGCTACTTGTGAAGATTATGCTATTGGATAATAAAACTGGTACTCTTGAGATAGTTGACATAATGCCGGGGGCGGAGATGAAGGTTGTGAGGGAGAGCCCGACGTTGACTATTGTTAGGTTTAAGGCGGGGAGCGGGGAGCCGGCGCATCACCATAGTTTCGGGCACGACGTGATGGTGATGAAAGGGAGGAAGAGGGTTTGGAACCTGGGGAAGAAGGAGAGCTTGGGCTTGGAACCTGGGAAAGGCGAGGTCCGAGACTGACAGGGAGCTTGGACTTGGAGAGGGAGGGGGGAGCAAATGAGGTAAAATGTGTTCAGTGATAGCTTGGCATGCTTTTGTTGTTGTTGTTGTTGTTGTTGTTGTTGGATGATAAAAGTATGATCCTTATAGGCAGGTGATAGTTTGCTTTGATTTGCTTGCTTCTTGTTGTTGTTGTTGTTGTTGTTGTTGAGGATAAAAGGATGAACTTTGCTATTGTTTTCGGTGCAATTTGCTTGTGTTACAGTGCCAAATATGCTTGTGAGCTGCACTTTTATTAACAAATCCACCCTCTCGTTGCAGGACTTGCCACCGGAGCGAGCTTTTGCTGATTTTGTCCTCTGCAATCTGATTCTCCACCTTGTGATCATGAACTTATTCGAATAGAACTGTATTAATATAAGTTGGAAACTGCAGCAATATGTATTAGGTCTTATCAGTTTTTGGACATGTCCATTTATGGTACTCACATAATTGTTTACCTGGTTGAAGATTGTACTCTTGCCTCACAATTCTCAGGATGAATGATGTATTCAACTAAAACTCGAGATCAAAGTTCTTATTTATTTTTGATGACTGATATTGCATGAGAAAAAAAATATGCAAGCTAGGGGGTGACCTTCAGATGCATGAGAAATGGTGTCATTACTTAGAAGTTTGGAAAATTTGAACAGTTTAAGTTCATTGTTAGAAGTTTGATAAACGGGTCATTCGGGTTATATGGGTCGGGTCGGGTAACCCGTTTAATAAATGGGTAGGATCGTATTGACCCATTTATTAAACGGGTCGGGTCGGGTCATACTTATACGGGTCGGGTCAAATTTTATATGGGTCGGGTCGGGTCGGGTTGACCCGTTTGCCACCCCTAGGTGAGGTAAGCTAAAATTCAGAGGGACTTGAGACACCGCAATATTTAGAGGGGTTGTGTGTGATAAATGAAGTTTAAAGGGTTAAATGCAACATCTCACAAAGTTCAGGGGGGTTTTGTGAAATAAACCCTAAATAATAAATAGCCTTTCCGGCATTGAACAGGTGAAGTCAGTACATACAACTAGTCATATTTTTCCTTTTCTTTTTTTATTTTTTCTTTTTCTTGCAAGATCCTGGTCCAAGTTAGTGACCTACAACTAGAAAAAAAATTTGAAATCGAATGAAAGGCATAAATTTCTGGCAGCCACCACAGAAGCTATAAGATTTTATAGAGAATTAGACGCAGGTTTATAGAAGCAAAGTATAAGAAAGTGAAACTGTTTCCCCAAAATACAGAATTAGGGGCTGTCTTCGTAAGATTTAACTGAGAACATATCCATAAACTTCAACCTATAAAATCCAAACAAGCCTACTTTTGCTCAACCAAAAACATAGATTTCATCAGAAAATGGAACAACAAGATGACAGATCTGAAAGTATTTGGAACCTCAAGCAACAGACTGAAGAGCTCTGTCAAAGTTTTCTTCAGCAGCAGAAGCGCGTTTCACTAGCAAATGCTCAGGATGTAACAGCCTCAGCTGGCTGCAAAGGTACAGGAGAAATCAGAAAAATGAGCAGAAAGAAAGAAAATGGCTGCAACTTGATTGGTTAATGCTTCAAAAGATAGGAAATGAATAATGTTTCAATGACCGACATATGAAGAAGTATGGCTTGTGAACTTAAATGCGTCCAAGAAGTTGAATCCTAAAGATTAAAGACCATGAGTAGAGAAAAAACGAAAAAGCTTACAACTTTCAACTGAAAGTAAGCCTAAACAATTTTTTTCCCCCTTCTAATTTTAGGCATTAATGCTTTTTCTCTTTAAGACTTTTCTTTTCTGATTAGCGCTTGCAGTAATTTTAGGCAGTGTGAACGGTGTAATCTATTCACAGTTAACCATAGGGATAATTCAAAACAATGCGCTTCATGCCCACAGGCCACAAGTTCTTCATTTCTACAGGCTGCTAATTTGTTAAGAGTCTTGTCGACTTGACTAGAACCGTAACCGTGATCACCTAGGGATAATCCAAAACAATGTGGCTTTGCGCACTTCATGCTTACAAGTTCTTCATTTCTTCTGGCTTCCAATTTGTTAAAGAGTGTTGACTTGACTAGAACTGTGATCACCAAGAAAGCGCGTGCAACCTGCTTGATTTCATAAGTGACGATTGCACTCTATGTATGACCATATAAACTGCAATTCTTTTATCTTTACAAGAATGCATATTACATACAAAAGTGCACATCAGATTTAATATAAAATTCCGTGTACTTACAGAGAGGTCCACATGAAGGAATATTTATAAGACAAAGTTCGAGAAATTATAACATCAACTAGGTGGATGTTTACAGATAATCACGCTAATACCTGGAAAATGCAAAACTATATTTCTCCATAGGTCTGTATTGAAATTGAAATTTAATGCTTGGAAAGGTAGAAACACAGATGCCAAACGAAAATTTTCTTTTAATTTTTATGATGAATCTATTCAAAATGAGTCATTTGCAATACTGCCTTCACCTAGTTACTGGTCTCTAAAAGATGGAAAATGAAGATTGTCTTGGTCTAAACACAAAACTGTCTTCACCTCACTGCTGATCCCTAAGTTGGACGAAGAAGATTGTTTACGGAGTAAAAAGACAAAAAATAAGTTGAGGACAAGACAATGGTAGAATAAAACGAAACCAGAAGTATCTAACTCTTCCACTGAAAGTGTGATAGTTGTTCCCTATGTTACCCGGGTGCTTCTATAATGAAGCCGTACCCGTACCGTACACGAACCCAACACTTTCCCGTACCCAAACTTCATGAACATTTCTTGAATATATGCATGCATTTATTACAACATGTACTCAATTATACGATATATGTGTTAATTTAAAACACTTGCCAAAGACTTCCTGGACGTAGAGCTTACACTTCACATCCGTCTTTTGAAACTAATGAGATACGGGTCAGGTTCGTTTTAGTCCATACCCAAGTTTAAAACTATATAGTTAATGGGTCGTTTAGATGTCTAGTAAAAAAAATGAGTAGTTTACAATTCACGATAATCGATATGATAAAAGAAACTCAAAAATGTGATCGGAATTTTAATTCTAATGACACATGAAGGGGAAAAAAATTATCTTATGCACAGTATTAATTCAATATATATATGTAGTCGTGTCCCCGTACCCTACATTTTACAATTTTGCCGTGTCCCGCACCCGCACCCGTACCAGTACTCGTGCCCGTTTCCATGCAACTTAGGTAGTTCCCAAGCAACACCTTGCTAGAACTTCTCCTGCAATATGCAGAACAATTTTGCATTTGGGTGTTATTGCTAGAACCTATCCTGCAATTTTCAGAACATTCTTTCTGCATTTGGTGTGTAACAAATCACCTTCTTCTGCAATAGTTGATCCCCAAAGATCTATTCCACTAGCCTAGTAGTTTTTCACTGTTAATGAAGTTTGACCTAAATCTTGTGCTGGCAACAGTCTCGCATAAACAAGTTCCAGTCTTGAGCATGCTTAACTGAGGAGATGACAATATAACAGAAATCTACCAAGGGGATGCGCTAGAGTTGGGTACCGTTAGTTAAGTTTTTAGTTTTGGGTAATATTGTATCTGACTTTCTAACTGGAGCAAGCTTTAAAGTTATGCACAGTTTAAGATCGAAGGCCATATATATACTAAGAAATACAAAATGTGGAAAAAACTGGCATATCTTGGCATATCTGGAATTCATTAAAGTACGGATGCTTACGTAAGGTATCTTGCTGGAGGTTTGCCTACATGAAGACTGCACACAACTAAGTTGGCCAGAGTTTCCGCATCCTTTGCATCCTAGAGATCATCAAACAACATTCTCAGCCAACAGATGATCGTAGATACTGACCAGAAGACATTCCAGCCATATGTTTTCCAAATATAAGCTAAAACTTTATTTTTTTTCTGAATGTCCAAGATACCTTGTTCAGTGCTTCAAGCAACAAAGATTCAGCTTCATCAAAATGCCCCATGTGCATACAGCAGACAGCCTTTCCATTAAGAACCATCCCAGTCATCTGATACTTCTCAGAAAAATCTTGGAAAATAAGATATGCTTCCTGAATCTTAGAACCACCCTGAAATTGCAGAAGTTATGATTCATATCGTCAAGGAGTAATTAGCATAAATCTCCCTGTAAAGAAAAAGACAGAAACTTACTACTGCCAGATTTAGCCATGCATTTGCAAGTTGGGTCAATGTGTGGTCTTCATCAATTTGTTGCATCAACTTTAGCTGTTTCTCTGCATAATCTGACCTGTGCATCTTTATGTATATCTGAACATTCAGTGCAAGCCTGCATACAGAAACAATGGATCAAATTGTAAATTCCACAGTTGAATCAGTTATACAGAGTTATTGCAGTGCAAATCAGGTTGGCAGGTGACAAACTATGCTCCTGAAGAAGAAAGTATGTGATCAAGAAAACTAAGGTCCAATATCTGATTACATTTCTGTTAACTGTTTCCAAACCAACATCAAGTGTTTGGTTATGGACGAACTTTAAACAAAAACGCTTTTTTATAAAGTATAAATTCTTAATAAACCGTACCTTATGGTTACATCTGACCATAATTCTATGAAATAATATTGGATCGAGATATAAAATATAGATGCGGTAAAACTCACATCAAGTGATCACATACGTTAATGTGGATATATAATAGCGACTATAAAAACAACAGTCATGACTCCAAATTTTGGAGTCAACAACATGAATATTTTCCTTCCATTCAGCCATGTTAAGGTAATCACCTAATTAAACTAACCACTAGAATGCACTTGAGTCTTTGACTCCTTTACTGGCTCCATGCAAATTCACTTAGGTCTATCTCCGGTCCTCATTTGCTCCATTCCGTGGACTATAATCCTATCACCTCTCCTAATTCGCACACTTACTAGTCTTCATTGCACATGCGAAAAACCATATTCTCCACGCCCTCCCCCGCCGCACCCACGCCCCAAAAAATAATAATAATGAATCCTTCAATCGGAGAAATCTCTAACTTCCTATATGCACCCATTTATATCCTATCTCTTACACTATGTCCACTCAAACTCTATAAACTTTTTGAAAACATGTTTCTTAATAGTTCTGTATTTTGACCCATAACACATTGTGGGTTTCAAACCTGCCACATAACCTCCCTTCAATTTTCAAGGGTATTCTATAGCACTATGATTTTTTGTCACCCTACTTTCCTTCCTTTGTCACAATCTTGATAACTACACCAAATAGAAAAAATGGCTACTCCAAGATATTTCTTAACCTCAAATATGTACTGTATATCCATTACCTTAAACCCTTTAGCTTAAAGTTGCATCCCATATATTCAATTTTAAATTCTTTTAGGCTCCTAGATTTTCGTTACCTTTCTGGTCACCCTCACTCAAGTCATTCCCCTTTATTATGTACCTTTCATACCATCATGTATAAAAGACTACAGGCACTACAATGTTGTATGTGGTTGTGCACCTTATGTTATGAATAAAGAACACTAGGCTTCAAAACATATCTAAATCCAATTGTAACATGATAATCAACACTTTTCATACATGAGTAACACTTCACACTTATTCATCTTTTGATGGTGATATGTGATGGTGCTGTAATGTCTTAGCTGATACTTGTACACATATCTCTGGAGTTGGGGAAATGGTTTTGATTTGTATAACCAATTTTGGAGGTGAATGAAGGTGGCTGGGGCTTCTCTTTGGAGCCCCATCTTTAGTTTAAAACATATAGGTAAATATTCTTACTCTTTCCATTTATGAATTACATGTATCACGTTGCATATTTACTTAATAATTGAATTCCCATGTACACTATAATGATGTCTCTTTCAACTAAATTATGGCCATCAAGGAACAAAGAACGCGTGCTGCATCCAAGATGCATTGCAAAATATGGAAGTTTCTTGCTATGTGATAACTCCTATTTACTGCCATGAATAAGCGGTCATAAGTATATTTGCTCTCTACACCAACATGCTTTTATATAGGCTGAAATCTATACTATTTGCCTAAATGCATACTAATCATGGGGGCATCCCTTAAACTAGAAATTTAAAATGCAAGAGTGAAATATTAACATGACAAATTCCTACATCACCTGAGGTGTGGATCCAAATAAGACAACCATATAATTAAGGCAAAGGAAAACAAAATTAAGTTATGACCTTTACAATATAACCTAATAAACAAACATAGTAAAGTCCAGTTCTAATTATGTTAGCAAGTAGTGACCACCAACAAGAATTACAAAATTAACAAGAAAAATAACTATAAATTGTAAACTATATTAACACACAAGAAAAATCAAAAGGGAAATTAAGATAATAAAATATAATCGAAGATGATAAGACATAAACAATAGGTAATAATATAAGATATTTGAAGGACTCCTACAGCTCCTATTTGAAGTGGTTGGAGTAGTCAGTAATGGCGTCTGGGACTGATGAGCGAAAAAAAAAAGGTTGGCTATGCTCCTATACATAAACAAATAGAATAGTCTATTTGTACAAAGTGATAACAAAGCAAACTTAAAGATCAAATGTCCAGTTGGACGGTCAGTACGGTGACCATAGAAGGAAAAGAAGATAGGACAAAGGTGGCGATGAGTTCTACAACAAACCCCAGGTTTTGAACGCCTTTCCATTCCGTTTCATTTCTTCTACTCATACCACCTCTACTTTACTCTCTGTGCGTGCATTTGGCCCTTAAAGGGGATTAGCACCCATGGAACAAGGTTTCAAGATAGAGACCAGGGTCCAACCAAGAACATAAATTGATCATAAAGATATAGCCTTGAGTTCATGACAGCATACATAATACTTGGTTTCTTATGAAAAAATACAACATTTCAAAACTAAAACCCCACAACATTATGCACACATTATCCACGGTTTCTGTGTAAGTTGAGTTGCCTAAAGCTTCAACATGGAACTAACAGAAGTTCAGGCAGAATTACGAGTTCCAACTTAGAACCAGTCCAGAATGCAAACAAAAAAAAAACTAAACTAAACTAAACAAAAGAAAAAGGGAAAAGAAAAGGAATGGCCTAATCTCCAATATTTCTACCTGTTATACATAAACTAGAAGTATTAAGGTTGCAGTTCTACTCATGCTAACAGAACAAGACTAGTTAAAGGAAGCCAAAACCTTTCATCTGATTTGCTTATTCCAATTTTGATTGTCAACAAACACTCATAATTTAAATTTTTAAATTTTTTTTATTAAAAAGTAAAACAAAACATGTGTATAGTTGTATATACCAGTCGTGAATATTAAACTCTTTTAATGATGATTAGACCATAAACAAAAACCATTTGAAAAAAATTGAAACTGGAAGGAAGCACAAAGTCACCATTACGTCCAAAATACAGACAAACGTGCATAAAGTTATCTAGTGTTTCTTTCAAGTTCTAATGGGGCTCAGGATTCAGCAATGTTTATAAGTATAAAAAATAAATTGCAATGCTAAGGCTCTCTTCTATAAGAAATTGAAATGTGCATATATTTTTCTTAGTGGGAAAAAGAACGAGATTATATGACTCACAAGTCCATTGTTCCTCCAGCATTAGTATGCTTAAGAGCCTCATTGTAGTCCTGCTCATGCATGTATATTATCCCTGCAATCAGCCGGAGAAAAGGATTGTTCGCTATTGCAGCATCACTCAGCCATTCTTGTAGACTTGATTTTGCACCTTCCTTTAGAAGCAGTATGAGAAGAGGAAGAACATATTAGACTTGAGTAGAGTGCAGTTTGAAAAATGTCCAAACAAGCTAGTTTAGAGCATGTTTGTGAAGTGAGTAAGTTTAGCTTCTAATTGTATTCACTTATAACCAAATTCATGTTTGGTAAATAATACTTATTTATTTATTTTTTCACTTATAAGTATTAAATATGTTGGGAGTTTCCAACTTATTTTTTGGCAGTTACAAGAAGTTTTCACTTATTAATGTTAAAAGACTACTATACCCTCTAACAAAATAAGTAAAACTAAGTAACAAATAACTTACAAGATTTCATAAAATAAGTATTAACCAAACATGCCCTTATGATGTGTAAAATCACAAGTTTCTAATCAAACAGAAGATTTAACGAATTTCTAGGAAAAACATACACTACAATGGTGAGTGAAATTTTTTTCGAAGTAAAAGCGTATGACATATTTTCCAGTTAAGAGGACAACTTTTATAGAGTATAATGTCTAATTAACCCTTGAAGGGAAAATAACCATATAATATTGCCAAGTCGTTCATGCTTTAGATCAATTTATCAAAATAATTTCTAGATAAAAAAATTTGCAGCTTATCTACATAGAGTAAAAGAAATGATCATGGAAGTCCTCCAACAAAATAAACCAACCATTTAGATCGAGAAATAGAACATACTCCTAAATCACATAAAGCTAAGCTGTAAATTAGTCACCTATGACAATCATCCAGGCCCTCGACTTTAACTATATTTCTACCAAATTCTAATACCTACTGACTTATAGTAACCTTTAAGACAAAACTTTGCATAACATAAAAACCTGAATAACTAAGCCTCAAAGTAAAATATTTTCCAATTAAAAATATCAAATAATCAGGGAACCATAAAACATCAAAAAACAAAAAAACTAATCATTTCGCATTTCATTCTTTTTTTCTAATTAACAATGACGAGACATCCTTGTTATAGACCCATCTCAAATGATGAAAACTAAGGCTTAGGTGGAAAAATGTGTTTTGTTTTGGTGGAATATATACCTCCGAAGAACACATTTGCAAATTTACCACCAAATCAGTATGTTTTCTAATTTACCCCTACATTATTCCACATTGGATTTTTTGGCTCTCACATTTAACACCATTAAGTTTTAAATTGTTGGGGTTAAAATGTCAAAAATATCTCCTCCATGAAGAGAGGGATGACCCTCTCCTCCCTTAAATCAAACCCTAACCCCTACCCAAACCGAAACTCCAAATCTTCTAATATATTAGTAGTTATTAGCCAATATCTACCAATATTGTCCTTTTTCTAATATGGATATATGGTTAATATGTGTTAATATCTATTGACACATCAAATCTTTGGTCCATGAAACTTTCATACTTTAGATAGAAATGATTTTTCAATGAATATTTGCAGCATATCACCTACAACAAAGTAAAAGTCATATTGATGACAGTCTTCCAAAAAAGTAAAACTAAACAAGCCAACCTTCTAGTGCAAGATCTATGCTACTTTATAAAAGTATTTATGAAGGCAGGCAAAAGTGGAGGAATGCATAATGATTCCTTCAATTTGTCAAAGAATAGAGAGTTATTATTTTAGTAAAAGATAAGGGTAATTTGGTCACGGGTCAATATCTTATTGATGTGGGCTTCATCTCTCCCTCCCTCCCTTTCCTCTCTAGAAGGTTCCATTACTTTCATTCCTCCATCTCTTTTTCAAATTTAAAATTTCATCCCCCCTAGAAAAATTTAAGAATTCATCCCCCTCTCTCTAGAAGATTCCATTGCTTCCATTGCTCCATTTCTTTCTCAAACTTATAATTTCGTGCATGTCTTTTTTAAAACCATATAATTTAAGAAAATAAAAATGCAACAACGTAAACTAGGCAGTAATCTATAAGTAAGTGTCTTCTTTTAACATGTATATATAATATAATATATATTTAAAAACATTTTTTAATAACAAAAAAATACTTTTCATAATTATGCTAATAAAATTATAAATTTTGGATGAATTTTCTTATGCACAATAGTTTTTGTTTACTTCAATAAAAGGTTAACCAAAAAACTACAAAATTCAGAAAATAAATCAAATAAAATTTATTTATTACATCCACTATAGTCAATTACAATTTCACTCCTATTAGTGAAATGAAGGATACAATAACAATTTTCGAGATGCATAAAAGATATACATATATTTTAATATTCTTTATTATTTTGATCAAAATTTTTACTAGAAACACTATAAATGCACATTAAATGATTATAACATAATTAACAAGCATGACGAGAACTATTTAGATAGAAATTTAAACGTGCATTTGCATGTGCTAATATACTAGTTGGAAAATAAAAAATATTCCATCCCATATAATGCCAAATTATCATGCAACTACTCAAGACCTCCAATTTAGCTTACTTATGTTTTTTGTGTTTATTATACCTAATGGCCACAATAATACATGGGACAGAATTTTCCATAATCATGATAAAAAATCTAAATAACAAATAAGGCCAAAATAAAATATCTATCACTTTTAAACATGTCAAAAGACCATACTCTAGGTCATGATATGTCATTAAACAAAGACCAATCGTTCACATCTCGTTCTTTCTATAAAGTTATAAATAGCAATGGCAATAGATACTCATCAATGATCATACAACTCAAAATGCTGAGGAAACCAAAAATCTACCAGACGAGTAGATACAAAGTGGGGAGGAACAAGTCCATCTGCATTCATTCACATGTTTTAATTCAGAGATCTCTAATGTACAACGCACAAGTGTTTATCTTTTGCCCATCAATTCTGCTTTTTTCGAAACTTCCAGATCTAAACAAATCAAGCCATACGACCTCAAAACAACTACCAACCTATTTTAGGGATTCTACATCTCTAATTCAGACAAATTAGGGTTTTGAAGCTACAAAAATATGCAGGAAACAGTACTTTGAACAGATTCTAGATCACAAAACAACCAAACTGTCTAATTTGAGGGCTTCAACATAACTAATTCAGCACATTAGGGTTTTCAAACTCCTAAATAAAAGATAATTTTCCATTTCAGCTTGTCCAACTTCCAGATCAAAGAAAAACAAAGCCATAAGATCACAAAACAACCAAAACTATCTGATTTTAGGGCTTCCATGTAGCTAATTCGGTTCACATTAGGGTTTTCAAACTCCTAAATCACGGATTAACCCTGCATTTCAGGTTTCCCAGCTTCCAGATCCAAAGAAATTAAGCCAAAAGATCACAAAACAATCAAACTACCTAAAATAGAGCTTCTGCATCTCCCATTCAGTTCACATCAGGGTTTTCAAACTCCTAAAACTCACAGATCTCATCAAAACTTAATCCAGATCCAGATCAAAGGTATCAGAAACCAACCTTATCGCCGGAAAGATATACCGCGAGCAACTTCACCGCCTGCAACGCCGTCGGGGCGTTCGAATCGATCTCGCTGATCACCAGCTGATAAACAATCACAAAATCAAGAGCAGCAACAACCCGAAACGATAAAAATCCAATAGAAATCAGATCGGAACCGTAACCTGATGAGATCCGAGGGCGATGTAGGATCTGTAGACGAGGGAATCCCGCTCGATGGCGTCGTCGTGGGAGAGGTTGGGGACGTCGCTGTTGTTGATGGCGGCCTGGTACGCGCCGAGGTAGAAGTTGTTACGGAGGTTGAAGAGGAGATCGGGGGTCGCCATCGGAGAGAGGATTTTTTTTTTTCTTTTTTTTGCCGCGGGGGAGATCTGAGAGATTTGAAGGAAGAAATGGGCTTTAAGATCTTCGCTCCTCCTCCGGTTGATGAATGATGATACATGTGTGCTGGAGTCGAGGGGAAGGTGGGCACGTGCGAGGCTGCACGTGTGTTGTTTGGAGCCTCAGTGGGTCTGGACCCGACCCGGATTCCAACGGCCCATGGTTACTTCCCGTTGGGTGGGATGAGGACCTATTGATCGCACCAGAAACACTTACTATTGGGCCTAAGCCCGTGATGGTTTCACACAACGCTCTTCAACTTAGGCCCGTTTTGAGATGACCTGACTTTTTGACGCTAGTAACACCACCACCACCCCCCCCTAACCATTAATTCTTCTTGCCTTCTCAATGAACACCATCAATGTATACTCCATAGGGGTGCCAAACCGTATCCGTATCTGAGGAAATATCTGTAACCGTATCCGTTAGGATACGAATATGGTTACTCAAATCTAAAACCGATAGGATATGGTTATGGATATGGTTTTGTAGTGAAATATCCGTATCCGTATCCGAAAATATCCGAATACATATATTGGTCATACTCTTACGGTAGTTTCAGAGTCTTAGATTATGGATTTGTGATTAATTTTGATGATCAATATGTCTAATCTTAGCTTTTCAATCATAATGAACGTATTAACGAACTCTTTTTGTATCACATGACTATATTTTTTTGAATACTATCTAGTTTTCTGATATCCTTTTTGTATCCGCATGCATATCCGTTTATATATCCGCATCTATATCCGTAACCATATCCGATTTTGGCGGATATGGATATGAATTTTTCTTACCGACGTATATCCGTATCCATATCCGTATCATATGGTTATGATAAGTGTCATATCCGAACCGTATCCGCTCCGTTAACACCCCTAATATTCCAGCTTCAATGAAAATATGAAACGGACCACTATTTGAGTCAATCACGTGCTGGTTTACAAGTACACCCTGACCGTTAACAGAATAAAAATAATAGTAATAGAACAATTACTCAATTTTCTCTGATCAGTTTTAGTAGCGTTAGTAATAGATGAAGATATCACAGGAACTAGAGCTAGAAGATGCTGATATTATCAAAACCGAATGAGGGATGTGCTCTAGTCCTTCAAAGCAGGTTGTCCTTGGCCTTGTTGAGAAGGTATCACGCATTTATTCGTAGCTCCGTTACACGTATTAGAGCGGAAATAGTTTACAATTTGTTGAAAGTAAAATTCATGTTAAATCGGTATACATACAAACAAGAAACAGTACAGTTTGTATTGCACACTTGTATATCCTTGGACTATCATGCATCTGTGTTACACTAATTGGGTGCCTTCTTAAGGGCCTGTCTGGATAATAGAAGTATTGGAAGTAAGAAATAGGTTATAGAAGTAACTTTCAAAACTATGAAGTATGAAGTAGTGGAAATAGCATTTTTTTTGTCCTTTTTTGTTTGGATAACATTTAGAAATATTATTGGGAAGTAATTAACACATGTTGCTTTCACAATTTCAAAGCCACATCATGCTATTTAATTTGATTTAGCACATTACAACCAGTTTCATGCCGCTATGACCCCTCACCACTTGAGAGCAAGAATAATCCTTCAACCACATAGCTTCAAAATATTTGTTTACCTCTCGCCTACGATGAGACTCCGGATGACCATAAATTCCTATGAATCTCCAATTTCCCTCCTTCCTTGCTCCTTTGATCGTAACATCAACGTGGTATTTAGACAAAAAACTAATAGACAAACTGTTCTTTTCATCCCAAAGAAAAGCTGGCCGACGACCATCACAAATTACTACAAAATAATTGTTAAAATTAAGAGCAATTTTATCAATGAAAAGTTGTTAGAAGTAACTAATAAAGGAAATATTAATAAAAAATTATTTATTTCCTAATTAATATGCATTTTAACTACTTCCGAGCAACTTCTGGGTATTGAGGATTGGAAAAATATTTTGAAAGTAAGGATAGCACGTAGACGCCACATAAGCGCTTAAGGAAGTATTAGAAGTAAGTGTTTTAGAGAACCAAACATATTTTTTTGATTGAAAGTAGCAGAAGTAACATCTATTTCTTTTACTTTAGTTACTTCATAATTACTTTCGTGCAAACAAACATGCCCTAAGGTGAAAGGCTTGAATACGTTGAAGGCGCAAAGTAACAAAGCAACAAAAGGAAATCAACTCTGAAAAAAGGAGTAGGATTTGCCACATTTTTATAGCGGAAAAGGTGTTAGCCTTTTTTTTTCTTTGTTTCTTTGATTTGATTTACATATGGTACATTTGGTCATTTTGATTTTTTTTTTTTTTTGGCAGGAAAGGGTGTAGGAAAATGAAGATGGTACATTTGGTCATTTTGATTTTTTTTTTTTTTTGGCAGGAAAGGGTGTAGGAAAATGAAGATTCTTTTCTTGGGTTTCTTTCCTGATATTAGTCTCCCAAATCTTCATATTTCAAAATTTGTCCCCCAAGTCTTTAAGAATTTTGAAATTAGTTCTCAAAATCTTTACGTGTTTTGAAATTAGTCTCCGAAATCTTCATATTTTGAAATTACTCCCTGAATGTGTTAAGTGTTTTTAAATTAGTCTTTCAAATCTTCCAAGTTGGTGCTAGCTAGAGGGACTAATTCCAAAACGCAGACTAATTCTTCATATTTTGAAATTACTTCCTGAATGTGTTAAGTGTTTTTAAATTAGTCTTTCAAATCTTCCAAGTTGGTGCTAACTAGAGGGACTAATTCCAAAACGCATACAAGATATGGTAGGCTAATTTTAAAATATAAAGATTTGGGAGACTAATTGTAAAACCCCAAAAATTTTGAAAATATTATTATAAATGATAATAAATGAGTTTTATTATGATTGGTGATCATTCTAGGATGAATGGATCAGATTGGAATCAATTTGAGATCGATTCGCAATTTCAGCCTCGGTATCGCGAGTCTACTAAAAACTGATACTATTTTATTTTTAGAAATTTTTCTATTGATCAGATGAGCACGAGATTTACGCCATTGATCTTAGAATATCAAGAATGTGTTGTGGGTAAAGTTTCATTGAGTTCTGACGACGGAGACTGAAACACTATTTTGAGACGGTATCGCCTCTACTGACATCCATTGTATTTGTATTTTTAATAATTTTTATGTTGATCAGATAAATATGAGGATTACACCATTGATCATAGAATGTTAAGACGTTCTTGTGGGTAAATTTTTATTACTTTCTGAGAACGAAGATTTGAAACTTAATTTTTTAAATAATATAAAATTATAAATATTATTTTTTTCCTTTTCTTTTCTTCTCTCCACCTACCCCCACCTACCCCGCTCCTCTCTTCTCCTATAAAAAGGGGCCCTCCCCTTCACTCTTCTCACACAGCAGAAAGAAAGAAGAGAGAGAAAGAGAAGGGGAGAGAGAGATAGAGAAAGAGAAAGAGAGAGAGAGAAAGAAGAAGGGGTTTTGGCAATTCGAAAAGCAGGAACAGATATGGATTCCAATTTCAGAGATCAATAAAGGCAAGTTCATCTCTTTCCAAACCCATCCCCAGTAAATTTTGATCTTGATGAATATACATGATATTGATGAATATACATGATATTGATGAAAAGACATGATATTGATAAAAATTGATGAATTTACATGATATTGATGAAAAGACATGATATTGATAAAAATTGATAAATATACATGATATTGAAGAAAAGTTCCTAAAGACATGATATTGCTAGTTAGAACTATACGTACAATTCTACCGCTGGAAATACTGTCACTATTTTATACGTATGGTACTATTCATACATACGGTACTATTCATACTTACGACACTATTCATAAATACTGTTACTATTCATATGTATGACACTATTCATAAGTATCGTACTGTTCATACGTACGACACTATTCATGAGTACTATTCATACATACTATGGTACTATTCATAAATACCGTACTGTTCATACGTACGGCACTATTCATGAGTATTATTACTATTCATGCATACTGGGGGGTACTATTCATATGTATTGTTATTGTTCAAACATACGACACTATTCATAAGTACTGACACTATTCATACGTATGGGTACTATTTATACATACTGTTACTATTCATGCATACGGTACTATTCATACGTACTGTTACTATTCATGAGTACGGATACTAATCGTAAAGTACTGTTGCTATTAGTAAGTACTGCTACTATTCATATTTAGTTATTATAGCGGATAGGCGGGGTTGGTAACCCTGACCGTTTACTGGACAATTTGGCCCAGTTTTATTTTCTGGAGTTTGTTTGCGCCGTTTGTGACGCGATCACGGAGTTTGAGCCGCTTGATGTTATACTTACAGTCATGAATATGACGAAATACGCATTTGAGTATCCCACGGGGATTACGATGAATCTAGATCTATTTACTTGTGAGTTAGTACACCGCAAATGAGACTGCGATGATACCTATTTGTCGATCCGCACGGTGATGCGATGATACCTATTTGTCGATCCGCACTATGATGCGATGATACATATTTGTCGATCCGCACTATGATGCGATGATACATATTTGTCGATCCGCACTATGATGCGATGATACATATTTGTCGATCCGCACTATGATGCGATGATACATATTTGTCGATCCGCACTATGATGCGATGATACCTATTTGTCGATCCGCGCGATGATGCGATGAGTTGGAAGAAGTTCAGAATGATAATATTATAAACTATTTACATGAGTATTTGGCGGATGCCAAAAGTGTTTCTACTCATTGTTGAGATACTTTGCTATACGAGTACACGAGATACATATGCTGATGTCTATTATGATGCTTTACTTTCCAATTATATTTTGATTGCTTAGTTCAGGGTTAATATTTAGTTATTTACTATCTGAGACATACGGTATATACATGAGGGTTTCCTTGTTTGGATTATTTCGCTCGACGTACTACGTCTCAAGTTGTAAGTTTCTAAATATTAATTCCATTAGATACAGGGAAAATGACCTAGGTAGATTATGCTTAATAGATAGAGCCTCCACTTCATCA